TTTATAAGGGAAAGAAAAAACTTTTGAAAAATACGGATAGTGTTAGCAATAAACATTGTACCAATGATGGCAGAGTTGGATACCGTCTTCGAATATTAGTTTTTATTCAATAGAATGAAAAATGCAAGCCTTTCATGTTCATAAATTTCGAATAAATTGAGCAAAAATTTTTTGTCCAAAATTATGAAATTCCCCAGATAACCATACAGATTATTATTTGCAATTCTCAATTTCCTCGGAACATAGTAAATTTGAAAATATACATTTTTCGAGCTGAATGCAGACGAAAATGGCTGCATGAGTAATAGTATCCCATTTAAAGGAATTCATTTAATGTGAAACAGCTCTGAAGGTAACCGCATCCTATATTTGATTACATAAAGTAGCGAAGTGAAGGATTCACGTCCGAGAAAAAAGTGGTATGAAAACAATAAATTAAGCTACTGAGGCGTAGTGGTACAACCGAAACCAAACTTGTAGAGGGACCAGTTATGTCACAGGCTCAAGACATGAGAAAACAAGTTGCAATTTCCTTTGGTGGCGCGTGAGTACAGACTAGAGGTGTCGAAGGTGGCGCATCAGCATGACCGTGGGCAGGACCAAAACAAATATCGGATGAAATTTACCTGGAACGATCCTTAGTATTTAAGGATCAAATCTGAAATTCTCGCGAGTACGGTCACTAGATGGTGAAATCCGATAGAAGTTTGTTTATCATCCTTGTTTACCTATTAACTAAATATTTTGAGTGCAAGCATCCAATTATTGTATGAACTGCCATATATAATGTTGGGAATTGAATTTGACACCGTGCTTGTAGATACGTTAGCTTGTTTTCTTCACATGGCGACCACCGCAAGCACAGCGCCTGCAATGCTTCACTAATGAGAGTGCCGTGGAACTCGACCACCTCATTAAGCTTTAATGAATTACCATGAATGCTCACCACATTTATTTCAGCGATGTAGTTCAGTGCAAGGCTTTCCAAAACAAGTTGTTATGGCCTCCCTAACGTTGCCTTCAGCTAGACTCGGCCTCTTGAAGAATCCTCTGAACTCTAAAGAGGACTTCAAAACAGAAAAATTTAACGAGTTTTTCTCGATCCTCTGAAGCTGGTTCTTCGATTTTTGTGCCTTTGAACGACTCTACTTCTTTGGACCTAACTTTTCAGTCAAATTGCACTATTAGATCATGAATTTGTACTAATATAAAACAATTTTTAAAACCTAATGTTTTAAATTAGGTTAGGTAATTTTTAAATCCAAGGCCGCAAATAAATGAGTACAAATTGCATATTCATGAGCCTTGCTTGATGCACTAAGAGTCGTAGGAAAAGACATAAATTTAATTTACAGTTCTCACCTCACGACTTCTTTTACAGATGTGCAACAGTTCATTAATTTCCATCAAAATATTAAGAAGAAGTTCAATTTGAAAGGTAAACAAATTGAAGATAAACTCGGACACATCAGTGTACCTAAATAGTTTGTCTGACGGGAAGCAATATGAATATTTTTTAATAATTCTTATTGATTTACTCTTCGTTTATGGTTTAGAATATTACAGAGAATATTCGAATTTATTAAATTCCACAGTCAATGCAACTCATTGCTCGACGTGCCACATTATTTTAAAGCAGGCAAATTGGAGGAAGACTCAAATTAACTGTTTAATCATGCATTCAACAGTCAGTGTAATCATAATTTATCAATTATTATGTTGACACAATCGTGAATGAACGACTGGGTTGAAGGTTTGTGGTCAAATCTAGAAATTTATTCACTCTAAAACGGTAAAAAGTCTGTTAAAATTTCACGACTATTAGTTCAGCCGTTTCTTAAATAGAATTAGTATTCATAACTCCTAAAATTTAACTCGAATTTAAATAAACCTGGGCCTATACTTTCAAAAAAACTTAAGAGATCGTAAGTTCATCAGCCAATCATTGAAGGCCTTTCAAGCAAAATCCACCAATCATAGACAAGAAAATAGAGCGTAAGTACTTACGTTCACTTAGCGAGTTTTGAAAGTATGGCTCCTGGACTCAAGTATGTAAATTTTTATCAGATGAAACATACGCAAATTATAAAATTCCAATCGCTATTTATGCGCAGTATTTCCCCTCGGTTGTTGATATGCTGTGCTGAACTCGTTTACAGTTAAGGCAGCGCACACGTTCTTAAGATGACCGTTGCGAGATCGCGTCCGGTATTTGAACAAACCGGACCGGAAAAACAAACCGGAAAAAATATAACTCAGTACTCACTGCAGTGAGTGACAGAGAGCGCATTTTCTCGTCGACGAAAACTTGAGGTCACGGACAGACGGACAGACGGACGGACAGACGGACATGACGAGCACAATAGTGCATTTATTCCATAAATGAGAAAATGCGCTAAAAAGTAGGCCCTTGTATCCTATTCTAACGTGTGAAGACGATCAGAAATTACATGAATTTTTATATGGTGCCGGACATGGTGATTAAGTGTTATTAATTAACGATTTCGGAAATTAATGTTTGGTACTGACGAAATCTGGCTTACTAGCGAAATTCAAAGCATGATTGCTAGCTCTTATGGATGTACAAAAATTATTATACACATAATTAATTTTTATGAAAATTTATCGCTATTATCAGGAAAAAAGCTCGTGTTTAAGAAATCAAATCAAAATGCATACAAGTTATTTATCGAGGATAAAGAATAAATTATTCGCTAGAAAAATATAATAAATTTAGTTGTGATTATAAAGATATCCAAAATATTATAAAATTGAATTCACATATGGGGTTAAATCGATTGAAGCTCGTACAGCTCTATGAAAACAAATTCGAGCTTTTTGGCGGCAATCTCAATCTATTGACAGCAAATAAATTTTCAAACAAACATCACTTCACAACGAAGTTCCACGAAAAACAGGGCGACGAAAAAATCCCCCTAAAGTCCCCCGGTGTGGTAATTTCCTTCACTACTTCACCACGCAATCCCACCGAATGAAGTGCACGTTTTATTTGCAGAGAAAACACGGCCAGTTAATCTAGCATTGGATTTCCCGCTGGTTTGGAGAAAGAATTTTCACCTGCTCAGCCAATCGGCACGCTACAGGGGGGCAAATGGCCCGGTAAACTCATTGCAGGCACCGGGGCAATTACGGCCGGGGGGCGAACACCCCTTCCACCTCCTCCTTTCGTACGACTGTGAATGGAGCGCCGATGTTGCGAATGACTTTGAAGACGCACAAATTTGATACAACATCTTCGGTTGCATTTTGGTTTTAATATAGCATGAAGAAAAATGTACAGGATTTTTTCTATGTTTTCTTTGGCGTTGTTTTTCCTTTATTTTCAACGAAAAATATGTCTGGCACGTAACATGCATATTTCCGTTGGTCGTTGCTCAATTTTACAACACGTCTCTTTAACTTCTCTTCTTGTTTGTCTGTCTGTCTGTCTGTCTGTCTGTCTGTCTGTCTGTCTGTCTGTCTGTCTGCTACAAATCTTATAATCAAAATTTAACACACTTCTACTTATCCTATCGATCTGAAATTTTGCACAGTTGCGTAAAGTTGGAGACAATGCATGCATCAAATGATAAAATAAATGATTATAGAAATTAACATTTTTTTTCAATATTAAAAAAATTGAAAAAATAATTTTGTCAGCAACAAATCTTATAACTGATATTTGACACACTTTTACCTGTCCAATGGATCTGAAATTTTGCACACATGTGGGAAGTTTGAAGCAATGCATGAATCAATTGACAGAATAAATAATATTGGAAAAAATTTTTATATATCAAAAAATTGAAAAATTAATTTTTATAATATTCAAAAATAAAATGAGAAATTCGTTTTACATCTTTAACATTGGAGACACTGGATTGTTTAGAAGTGTTGTCATTAAAAAGTAATTTTTAAACGTATGTTATTCATATTCATTTAAAAATTGATGCACTTTTTAATCCATTGATAGCATATGATGCTAAATTGTACTTAAGTTATCAAAGTATTTTTTGACATGAAAATTACCAGGCAGCGGCGCCAATATACTATACATGATTTACGCTAAATTTTCCCTTTCGACTTGATTAAGAAAATAAATTAATAACTTAAAAGCAAAGATGACGAATCAATTAAATTTTCTAAAAATATTCACGCCAAGGTGTACAATATATGAGTAAGTGGAGGCATGAATCAGACCAGCTCGATCTGTCTTTGGCGCTGTAGAAAATTAAAACATGTTCAAATAATTACGCCCACGGAGTAGACAAATAAATGTTGCATTCTCAAACTCAAATCACTCATAAAATTTATAAAATGCTTCAAAAATTAAGAAGAAATTGCCAACAAATTCTTATATTAGCAAATTAGAGACGATATGAGCTAAGGGTTATATACAGTAATTTTCGTTTGTTATATGACCCAGGCTTTATTCTTCTCCAATCACAATTTCGAAAGTTGAAATTTGATCGACACAAGTTTCAATCACAGATAATAAAAGTTCTGATAATATTTCATTTAACGCTGCAGTGTAAGTAGTTTTTTCTGATAAAAACATAAACCAATCCCTTTTTTTAAACTATAAAATAATAAACGTCAATTTCATAAAATTATTCTAAATTTATTAAATAATTATTATTACTTATTCATTGATTTATTAGTGTCCACATTATTGAATTGGTTGGTATTTGCAGTTAAAAACAGTTATTTATGAGATGCCGGCGGTCTAACCTATATGGATATCTTTTGATTTACTGTGCTAAAAAATTAAATTAGTTAGTAAAATCCTCATGTTTTTACCGACGCGACCTGCGACATGAATTTCCGAACTAAATTATTGAGAATTTTCACCATCACTGATGAGATTAAAGAAAACTGAATATAGTAAATAAATTACTATTATATAGTACATATGTTATGAATATGGTAATACGTCGCGATAAACATGAGGGGTAGAATAGAGATGAATGAACGAGAATGAACGGCCATTCAAATAAACTATGGAATTGAGAGAATGTAGTGAGGAGGCTGAGGAGGAAATGTGTAGTGAGGAGGCTGAGGAGGAAATGTGTAGTGAGGAGGCTGAGGAGGAAATGTGTAGTGAGGAGGCTGAGGAGGAAATGGTGCCGATGCAAAGAGGAAGTTTTGGTTTCCTGCCTCAGGGCAAAGAGGAAGACGGCAGATGTGGGGAGGGGAGCTTCATGCCAAGACGGTGTCTTGGAGTGAAGAAGATGGGAGAGACCCCACCATGTTATGTGAGACTCCAAAATGATTGGGGTCTCACATAGCAGAGACCCCAAAAATTACCCAACATTCTATCTGTAATCCTCAGCACCTTCCGTAGTTTGAACCAACATGATATGCGAGGTCCGATATGTTCTGTGAGCCCAACATGCTATGTGAGACCCCAAAATGCTGTAAATAACCAAACATTCTATGTGAAAGCCTAAGCAACTTCCTCAGTTCGACCTAATATGATATACGAGGTCCGATATGTTCTCTGAGCCTAACATGCTATGTGAGACCCCAAAATGCTGTACATAACCCAACATTCTATGTGAAGCCCTCAGCACCTTCCGTAGTTCGACCCAACATGATATGCGAGGACCGATATGTTCGCTGAGCCCAACATGCTATGCGAGACCCCTAAATTCTGTACATAACCCAACATTCTATGTGAAACCCTTAGCAACTTCCTATGTTTGAACCAACATGATATGCGAGGACCGAAATGTTCTCTGAGCCCGAAATGCTATTTGAAACCCAAAATGCTACGTGAGATCCAACATATGCTTTTTGAGACCGCAACATGCTATGTGAGAGATCAACAGCTATTGGAAACCATAGCATGCTATAAGTGAGAGTACATAACGTTCTCTGTGAGACCCAACATGCCATGTAAGACCTAACATGCTATGTGTGAGACCAAAGCATGCAATATGAGACGAGAACATGCTACGTAAGAAAAAACATGCTATGTGAAACCCCAACATGTTATACGTCGCGAGCATATGAAAAGTCGAGCACTGGGGAAAATGTTTCATAACCAGAAGTAAGTATAAATTGAAAGATATGAGCGATGTTTTATGGACTAAGAAAGTGGACACAATTGAGAACAAATAATAGCAATAGTACAGAGAACACATTAATATGAAACATCGATAGAGCAAATCCGGCAGCGACCAAATTTATCATAGTAAGAAGAGAAGATGCTGAGAGGGAACATGGATATAAATTATTATGATTTAAGTAGAGACGCTGAGTAAAAAGTCGACAAGACTAAAGATCAAGCAGAGTCGTCATAAGTTATACAGGGTACACCAAAGTTAATTCAAAAATTTTAAGCGCTTGAGAAATTATGAAAACCCCTAAATGAATTTAAAGATGAATGAAATTGAAATTAAGAAAATTATTTGTGCGACCCTGAAAAGAATTTCGAGCAGGGAACCTGTGAGATACTCGTGCGTTCTCTCGCTCTTCTGCATCGAAGCCTGGAAAAACGTTCGGTCAATCTCTTCCATAAATCGGATTTGGAATTCTTGGATCTGCGCTAACGTAATCTCTGTCTCCGACTGTCGAGACTGGAAGCAAGGATCGCTTTTTGAGACTCAAGAGGGCAAAGTCGAGCCAGAAATATTGCCAGGAAACCTGAACCAGAAGGTAAGAACCAGAAACCTGAAGCAGAAGGCCAGAACCAGAAACCTGAACCAGAAGGTCAGAACCAGAAACCTGAACCAGAAAGCCAGAACCAGAAACCTGAACCACAAGGCCAGAACCAGAAACCTGAACCAGAAAGCCAGAACCAGAAACCTGAACCAAAAAGCCAAAACCAGAAACCTGAACCAGAAAGCCAGAACCAGAAACCTGAACCAGAAAGTCAGAACCTGAAACCTGAACCAGAAGGTCAGAACCTGAAACTTGAACCAGAAGGTCAGAACCTGAAACCTGAACCAGAAAGCCAGAACCAGAAACCTGAACCAGAAAGCCAGAACCAGAAACCTAAACCAGAAGAGAAGAGGGAGACATTCGTGAGCCGGAGGTTCAGGCTGCCCGACGAGTGTTCCCAGTGCTGTGAACACTGAACTTTCGAATATTAAATAGTCAAGGGAACAGTTCTTTAATAACAGTAAGTAAGCCTAGAGCAGCTCTAAGAAAATAAGAAAAATGGGAGTTCATAGGAAAGAATTCTATTAATCTACAACCTGCACACACTCCAGGAAGCTCAGTAGATAAAATCATGGTGATTCACGGAAACATCCTGTTTGTATTTCGCGCCGAGTTTGTTTCGCGCCGAGTTTGTATTTCGCGTACTGTATAAACGAGTTCAGTGTTTAATTTACACTCAAAAATTACAATTACAAAAATTACAAGGCTCAAAATTTTAAGCCGGCAAATGAAAATACCACCTCAAATGAACAAGAGTCTGTCATTTTTGGTCCGTTCTTCATTCCAGTAAAATACAATGCGATTTGATAAATTGCATGGGAATCCAAAGATTTTATTTTAAAATTAGAGTGTTGGCAATGTATCACACACAATAAAAACACAACATATACAATTTATTCATTAAAATTTGCAGAAACACGCAGTTGAGGTTTTTACTTCAGATTGTTTATTTCAAGCAAGCTGATACTCTTTCCCAGTTAGTACCGATCACTGAGCCATAATAAACTATCAGAGAGAAAACATAAACTATGGCGCTTAACTCATGGTGATCGAAGACAGACTCTAGTTCTGGAACTCGTGCGAGACAATATTCAATTCTCATTTTGAGGCTGGAATTTCTTGTGTGTCTCGCGACGTGCACATTTTACGAAGTTTCGCCGTAAATAAAGGCGTGCTTCGGCCTGCACGACGGCGCTGCGTGATCTGAATACAGCCTATTCGGGGCCGGCGCAGGGCCGGGGAGTCAGCTGACTCAGGCAGGCAAAATAATATCTAAGCTGTCAGGTGATATGAAATAGAGGAATGATATGGTCCATTCATATGGTGAAAAAATAAAACTCAGTACTCACTGCAGTGAGTGACAGAGAGCGCATTTTCTCGTCGAGGAAAACTTGAGGTCACGGACAGACGGACGGACAGACGGACAGACGGACATGGTAATCACAATAGTGCATTTTTTCCATAAATAAGAAAACGCGCTAAAAAGGAGAAATATTATCTGTCAGGATAGCAATAATTTGAGCTGAGATATTTGTATGATATGCGTTTGCGCCTAAAAAGTTGATTTATTGATAGATACGAACAAAAATACGCACGGGAGACAAATCCGTCCTAAATAAGCTGTACGAATGCAGTCGAGAAGTGGAGAGTTTATCCAATGAATTTATTCATAACTTGGGAATGTGAATTCGTATCTTGCGTGTCTAAGTCTGATTTTTTATGATTACTATATTAAGAGAGACGATAGTCTCTGTCATGAGGCATTACAATTGAGCTAATTTGGTAATTTGGTATTAATTTATCGGTGATGGAAATACAAACTCCTCAAGTATATCAAGGCATGGATGAATCAAAGTATGACTTGTCACTTCGCTGTCACGCTAAAAACGAAGCAGCGAACGTTGCCATCACAAGAGCTTATGTGGAGGCAAATGAAAATCTATGGGCAGTGAAGCTTTACTGTTCAAACACAACTAACGTAATAATATCACTCGTTTGCTTGAATAGGAAATTCACTAAAAACTTAAAAGCAAAGAAAAATCGACAAAAATTCATAGTATCTTTAAAGAAAACGTTTCGGAGTCCAGCTCCATCATCAGTTCGAAAATTCTAGAACACAGATAAATCAGTGATTAGGACAGTCAAAAATACAACGAATAAACCTAAGCTGCAAAACCTACCTATTTACAATTTCAAGCGGGTATGAGCTAAAAGCTAAATTCAAACTCGGCCTCTGTTTAAAAATATACAATGATTCTAGAATGCGCAAATCAGAAACACCGGAACTGGAAGCTAAAACAACTAACGTCTTCTGCAACCACGCTGTGGCGTTGTCTCAACCAGGATTGATTGTTATTCTCAATTACAATATTCAAATGTAACAGAAGTAATTTTAATTATTATAACAATCATGCTTTCAGTTTATTATGCCTTCGAATGGGGAAAGGTTAAAGTTTAACCAAATGTAAGTCTCACAAATAATTATAATGCTTCTATTTCGGCACCATATGCAAAATTGATGTCTGTCCAACATTTATTAATGAACCATCGAAGATGAAAAAAGAGATATGATATTCCTTGAATAGGAAAATCAACAATTCTTCGTGAGAATTTTGCGTTCTCATTACCGAAAGATTTATTGCCACTATGTTACGCCACCAGCATCCAGGCAATTATTTATTCGACTCAGTGTCTAAATCATGTTTAATTTATATCATAGATTTGACTGTGGTTGGAAGAAGTAACAATAAAAATTAATAGCGCGATTTAGTCCCTCTTTCTGCAAGAGAATAACGTAGCAATGTAATTGGATTCCATCTCTCGACGGAATGGTGATTTGAAAAGAACAATAATGAAAATTATTCGCGCTGGGGAACGAGTTGTTGTGCAATGAAATGCTCGTAAACGCAGCCTGGAGCTCTTCAGCTCGATCACACTGTGCTGCTACAGGGCAGCTAAAACTATTCATTGAGAGGAACTCAATGCAGCTGCGTCGAACATTCATGACGACAAAGAGGGCGTCAATAGACGACATGACATTAGGGAAGCTATAGAGGAAATGACCTACACGTACCAATAGGCTTCAGGCCATCCTCGTGCTGGCTCGAGCTGCTGCAACGAATGCATCTCTCCTTCACTTTTATGGCTGGCAGACGGTTAAGATACACGTTTCTATAATTCCTTTGTAGCTCGGCATAATATACAGTTTCACCAAAAATTAACAGTTTCATAATATACAGTTTCACCAGAGTAAAAATTCACCGATATTTTTTGATGTAAAAAATCGTAATGTAAGTATAAGAAATACGTTCCTAATTTTGACATAATGAATAAATGAAGTCCAATAGCTAACGATGATTTCCCTTATGCATTTAAAATGAGTACAATAATGTTTACTGTGAGGCACATGGGCTGTGAAACCTGTTTTATTTACTAAAAAACCATAAAATTGTTTTGAGTGGTAGCAAATGATACTATAAAATACATATACTAAAAAACCATAATATTGTTTTGAGTGGTAGCAAATGATCATTGTTTGAAAAATATCTGGTGAACGAAGGCTTTACGTTAAATTTCTTATTATTGCCGCGCTCGAATTTCCTGATCTCATACCCACCGACTGATACGTGTAAATTCATTTTATTTAAATCCTCAATCACGATGCAAAATAAACTTCCAACATTCCTAATTAAAATCATATATCATAAAAATTTTCAGCAAGTTTTTGGTAATGATTAGACATTTTGCCCCGAAATCCGACTACATCATTAAACCCAAACACCAACGTGCTAAGGTGTTTTGTCTTGGAGGCGTTACAACAAATTTAATGAGGTTCACTGGGTTTACAAGTCTCCATTATAACGTCAAAAGCAAGCAGCAATAAAATAATAACATTTACATAATTTAAAACGGCTGGATTAACGTTGCGGAATCCTGAAAAGAACGATTTGGGAGCGATCCAATAGTCAGCAATGAAGATAATGTAAAAAAATGTAATATAGTCGAGCCACGTCCTGAACCGACGAATGCATTTGGACAAAATTAAATTTTATTAGATCGAAATATGTAAAGATAACACACCAAAGATAATTAGGAGCATTGCATACCAAATAAATATGCCCTTTTTAATGAATAACTAAATTTCACAAAACTAATATCACGAAAATATACGCGAAAAAATTTTATCTATGTTTTATTTCTGTCATAATAAGACTGAAATAATTTTCAGAAATGTTTTTTTATTCCAACGTAGCAATGAAAATATACCCAGAAAGTATATAACAATAAAAAGTGAATTATGAATGAACTTTTTAAAGAAGGAATTTATGTTCACTAAATGAAATACTGAGCAAATCGTCGCTTATAAATATTGTACCCCCTTGCAGGGCAGCTACATAATTTTCCTCTCACCGATTCCAAATAAACTGCAACTAACGTTTGTAGCGCATTTTCTCATTTATGAAAAAAAAACGCTATTGTACTCGTCATGTCCGTCCGTCTGTCCGTTTGTCTGTCTGTCCGTCCGTGACCTCAAGTTTTCGTCGACGAGAAAATGCGCTCTCTGTCACTCACTGCAGTGAGTACTGAGTTATATTTTTTTCGGTAGTGGCGAGACCGAACATCTCGACATGATAAATTCGCTAAGGAAAGTTCGGCGCAGAGCTAAGTTGTTGATTCCCTTCACTTTTGTCGATGATTCAGAGGTAACAACTTCATCAATCACCGAATCCGTTTCACCGGATCCAATTACCAAGTAATTTAGAGTCTTTAACTTTTTCGTTCCTGGTTTCCGGAATATCAGCACCTCGTCTCCGACCACTTTTTTCCTCGTCGACAAAGATGTGTCAAGCAAGAGATAAAAAAACATGATAAGAATTTCTGGACAATTTCGAAGCCAAAATATTTATATTATTTCACGAAATTGATTACAAATCTAGAATATTGAACGTGGCCGCTCATTATTCATTTAGCATTCATTATTAAATTATTTCTATTTATATTGCATGCATTATTTCTTAGCATTCATGCTAAATTACCTCTCAAAATTTTTTTAACCTTGAAAATTACACTAAACTTATATTTATCTTCGAATTTGGCCACCTGAACATACACATATTTTTATCTCTCTAACTTTCATTATATTCACCTAAGAAACTCATCTCTTAGCATCTGTAATGCTCGCCGAACAATTCGCATTGTTCATTCGATGCGCAAAATCATTTCTTTTTTAACTTCTTACAAGGCACTGATATAAAGAAAATGCGACGATGGTACAAAAAGGATAAAACTTGTACATTCAGTCTTACAATACGTTAAATGTCTTCTACTTAATTACAAGGCTAACAGCCTAACACACACCTATTTCATGAATAATTTCTTTTTTCTACAATCTGAATATTCATTATACACTGAATAT